GAATTGGTGGTGGGTGGATGTTACTGAAAGGCTGGTAGGTCCCCACTGGCAGGCCACTGAAGTTCTCCTGTACAGAGAGATCAGTCATGCAGCACACCACTCATCTGAGACACCACACGCCTACAGCTGCCATGGGAGTCACAGGAAGTAGAGTCTTAGATAAATGCAAGCACGTATTCAAGTGGGTAAGAGTTTATGCTTACAAGGAAGAGATTCTCAAGTATTAAGACAGATGTAGTCACCTGGAGCAGGCAGACCCAGCTAACTGGACTGTGGGTTATTCTAAAGAACCAGCACAGATAAACATTTCATCTTTCAAGGCACAAGAAGCACCAGGCCAATAAAGGAAATACTCTGCCATTTCTGGCCCTGTGTGCAGTACTGCAGAATAGGAAAGAGGTTTCTGGCTCACACAAGGCTTTGAGTTGCCCTCATTTGTCACACAACAGCACCTCAAGGACCCAGACCTGGCACAAGCCCTCAGCATGTTTATGCCTGGGCCAACAGCCAAGTGATGATACTTGGCCCAGATTTTCCACAAAAAGTACTTCAGCACTACTGGGACCATATTAAGACTCAAAGCCATCCCACTATTCTGCTCTCCAGTCTACACAGATATCCTGTAAATTACTTAATTCAGAGAACGGAGGAGTTCTTTTCAGCTCCCACCTTCCACCCTTACAACAAATCCTCTGCAAGAGCCATTGGCTCAGTCTTCTCCCCTTGCAGGTCTGCAGGCAGGGCTCGTCTGCATTTTTCTGTGCTATTCCCACCCCACAACACTCACCTGATTTCCTTGACTGAATCCTGGCACACTACCAGCCTACCAACTTCAAAGTGCAGCTCCAACTCCTGGACAAAAGCCTGGCAGTCAGAAGACTACCTCAGGAGTTAAGTCTGGACTCCTCTGTTCCCTGAAGGCAAAGAGGGCTGGCTGCAGAACAGGGTTAGGAACCTCCACAGTCAAGATGCAAGATTAAGCTTCAGCTGTACTGCCAGCAGCCTCCGTCCCCTGCAGTCTCACACTGAGAAGATGGCACACTGAGCTAACAGGTACAGTCAGCAGGCACAGGGCTAAGCGCTACAATAGGAGTCTTTCACAGAAAAGGAAACACACAAAGCCCAGGAACTTACCGGTCCCTTAGGAGGTGGATAAGAGAAGGGTGGATTTGTTGTTGGCATGGGCATAGGCATCATCACGGGCATGGGTACTAACCCATCATGACCTATCATTGGGGCTGTAAATCCACCACCTCCGCCCCCTCCATGGCCACCCTTCTTCACATCATCCGTGAAGCCCACATCAATTAGATCTGCCTCTCCACCTGGCGGGGCTTCAGCCTGGAAAGGGTGGAAGAATTCTGCTCACCAACACATCTCTTATGATCACTGCCCTCTATACACATTAGATGAAGCATTTGTCAATGGACAAGATGGGAATACACAACAGAACAGAGCTATACAGTGGTATTAATGGAAAACAGAATGTGAACCAGGTTGTAGCATGTGTAACTACTGCCACATAACACAGGAGTGCCTGAAGGAAGAAGGATCATGCTATGCTAGGGCTGTCTAGAAGACACCAAAGCACAAGGACTACCCAGTTCACTGCAATGCCACATCCTGAGGCGAACTCACCATCACCACTGAGTCAGGCTCATAGGGCACATTGTAGTTCTTTGCAATCTCAATGAGGTATCTCTCCACCAGGATCTTGGGTGGTGCTTCCACACTCAACTTGTGCATCAGCTGGAACACGAGGGTGGAGAGACTTAGCAGAGCCAGGGCAATGCAGCATCCAACAGCTCTGTACCAGTGCCATCCCAGCCAGGGAGGTGCAGCAGGCAGCCGTGGGGAGGCCCCTGAACCCAGTACAACATGCTGCAGGCAGCCATAAGCCAGGGCTCTATTTGCTCTACCCTTCCCCATCCACAACCAGTAGAGCAAGGCCTTCCTGCCTGAGGCCTCAGCACCATGCTCCAATGCAGGTGGGCCCTGGCTGCACAGCACCTGCTGTGCTCCAGAGTGATGGCAAGCATCAGCCACCAGCCACGGGCCCAAGGGGCAGCAAGCCTTGGCAGGAGTGGCTGCTCTGCCAGCTCTGCCTGTTCTACCAGTTCCTTACCCTGTCATTGACTGTCCCAATCTGGTTTGTCCGGCACAGCTTCCCATACTCCTTGCTGTACTTAGCACACAACTGATCAGCAACCTGCAGCAGGAGAGAAACTCTAGAACGTGCACACTCCTGCTTTCCCCCACCTCAAACCTCACATCCACTCAGCTCCCTCCCTCATTTTTCCCACTGAGCACTCCAGTTCAGCAGCTGCAGCCACCCCAGATGCTCCAAGGACATCTGATTTCCATCTGCAGAGCCCATAAAATCCTCTGGTATAAAGTCCCAGACAAGGGCTTCCATCAGCATCAGGCAGCATCATCCCCACCCTGAATGTGCAGCATCCCTCAAGCAACCCTACTCACAATCTTCAACTCGGCCACTTCTGACTGGAGGCGTGGTGCAGCCCAAATCAGTGTCGATACTGCCTCTGCCAGGCCAGAATCCAGCTCCCTATGACCAAAGAAAACAATTCTCTCTCCACCCCATGCACCCAGCCTTTGCTGCCCTCAATCTCCTTAGCCTTTAAGTTCCCATCCCATGCACTGGGCTCCACAGTCTCCCGTACATGGGGAAGAAAAGGTCTCTGGAGAGACAAACATGGATGCCCTTCTGTACCCCAGACCTGCCCCCAACAGTGCCCCTTCCTGAGTCCATAACCCTCCCAGCCAGAGCTTACTTCATGGACTGGATCAAGCCAAAGCGGGCGAGCAGCAGATCACAGTACAGCTCCAGGATCTCCATGGCCTCCACAAGGTAATCTTCACGGATGATGTGCTCCACACGAATCCTGGCACGCTCATCTTTTCCAGCTGCCAGGTAATCTGCAATCTCCTTCCTTGCCTTCTGGGCCAACTCAGCTGCAGCACACATCCCGAGTCCGGTCACTGTGCTGGCCTAGGCTGCTGCCTCCAGACTGCCCACAAGTCCCCATTACACATAAAACCACCACCAGCTTCTCCCCCCTATCTAACATCTGCATCCCGAGACACTCGGGCATGGCTTGGCAGAGCCCTCATGTCCAGCTCCCAGCACACTTAACTCATGGGAGTAGGGAAAGTGGACTTCAGGCTGCTGGAAACACTCCTGTACCTACAACCTCCCTACAGAGTTAACCAGGAACACAGGCCTGACCTGTGTCAGGGCAGGGCAGGGCAGGTGGGGAGGATCTCCCACAGCACCCAGGGAGTTCTCCACTGTGCTCTTAGCACACATAGCCCACAAATATTAGCTGTTAGCTACCACCCCACAAACTGCACTCCAACAGCTGCCAGGAAGGTGGACAGAGGCCACACTGTGGCCAGCCTGCTCTTCCAGCTCCTTGTGCACCAGGGCAGATTGTTAAGGCCTGGGTCCAGCAAGGAAAAGCAAAAAGCTACTCCATACTTGGCCCATGAAAGTACCCCCAACTCCAGAAATACCTTCCCAAGTCTCCTGAGCCCCAAAAGCATCCTGGGTCCCTTAATACTCCCCCTAATACTCACTCTTAATACTTAATACACCTGCCCCCTTAATACTCACTCTTTTTTTTCTCCAGTAGCTTGAGGCGATTGATGACAAGGCGCAGGTTGACTCGCAAGCGCTCTGCCTTGAACCCAGAGCCCAACATGATAAACACTTTCTGTGGAGAAGAGGGATGGCCACTGGAACCAACAACTGCCAGTCAGGGTCTGTCACCAGACACTGTTTTACTGCGGGGGAGGCCAAGAAATGCCCCAAACAAACAAGCCCTAGTCTGCCAATCCTGAATCTAGTTATTTATAAGTGACTGAACCTCGAGTGCTTATTATTGCCTTTCCCACTTCATAACCCTGCACCTCACCAAGACCAATAGGATTGGCCTTAGAACTTCAAGGAAACTTACTGGACATTGTTTTAAAAACGGAAAAGTCAACTGAAGAGCCAAGCCCACCTCTGTCCTATCGAAATACAAGTTATAAACCAGCTATATAATTAACTAGAGGACTATTAGAAACTAAGGTTGTAACAATGTCGTCATCAGAAGGAAAAAGCTGCCGTTTCACATTCCCCACACTCTTCCTGCCTACTGAACACACGCTTAGTCTCCCAGGAACCAGTTCAACTTATTAACCCTACAAAAAGCAAATCCTAATATTATTTAATTATAGCATTCTGTTTGCCAAAAACCGTTCATCAAGGAAAAGCTTCCTTAAAAGACAGCACATAGAATCACCTCTGTTTGCATCTCACCTCCCCATCCCTCTGTGCCGGCGGCTCCACCGCCCAGAGCGGAGAGTCATGACCTGATCCGGCTGCCGGGACGGCCGCCAGCCACACCAGCCGCTCGGGGAGACTCGCCGCGTCTGGCCTAATGCCCAGGGACAGTTCGGACAGTGCGCAGGAGGCCCTGCATGAGCTCCAAAGGCGCAGCTGCACCTGAGGGCTGAGGGGAGAAATCCCTCTCCCTCCCCAGCTAGGTAGCAGCGAGAGAACATCCCACACCACGACCGGAGCAGGTCCCGGGGCAAGTCCCAGGGCTGCGGGAGACCCTGAGGCAAGGCTCCCCGTCAGTTTCTCGGACACCGAGTGCTCCCCGCGGCCCCGCTCACGCGTCCCACGGTCCGACTCACCACCCGCCGCTCCGCAGCTCTGCCACCCAAAATGGCGCGCGGCTTCCGCAATCCTTCATCGCGTGCGGAGTGATCCTCATAGCCGGCACTCTCCGTACCCAGTCTCCGGCACAGCCCGGGGCACAGTCGAGCTGGCGCGGCGGGCGCTGTCCCGACCCGCTTCCGCAAATGCGGCCTTGGCGTACCAACGGCCGGGGAGAGAGGGGCACAGTCTGGGAGAGCGGCGCAGAGGGACTACATGGTCCGGCGGAGGGATCCTGAGCGCGTCTAACCGGTGCCACGCCTGATAGGCGCCCGCCGGTGCCCGCCCCCGGCGTGGCGGTTCCGGCAGCGCGGCGTTCCGCCGGCTGCTGCGACCTGGCCACGGGGTCCTCGGTTCTCTGAGGGTCGCACGGCGCTGGCGCCACCGCGAAGGAGAGTCGGACCGAAGTCCAGCCCGGGCCTGGGACCGGAGCCGCAGCTCCCGGGTAAGTGGGCCTAGCGGACGTTCCGAGCGGGCCCGCTGCTCCCGGGCGGCGCTCAGTAGCCCGTGAGGGGAGGCGGCCCCGAGCCCCCGGGGCGGGGCGGTTCTCCTCAGCAGGTGCGCGAGCTCGTAACGCGCGCGGTGGGTCTGAGTTAATAGTACACCCTGCGTTTTGGCCTTGCAGGGTACGCGAGATTCTGGCGAACCGGGGTGGCACGAGGGCTCCCGGTAATCTGCCGGCGGAGACGGCCGGGGCAGGCGGGCCCCGTCGCAGGCACGGATGAGCTCCCTCGGGTGGTCGGGAGTCACGCGCTGGGCTGAATCCATGGCATACAGGTGAGACGCTTCAGGTAACGAAAAGCCGGCCCCTGAGCTCTGCGGGTGAGCTGTGCCCTCCCGGTGCCTGCCGTGGCCCCCGTGCCCGCGCTCGCGCAGCCTGGCGTTGCCCTCCGCCATCTTGCCCGTCTGTCTGTCCGCTGCCCTTTGTCTGTCTGCGGCTCCCGGTGCCTGCGGCGGGACCGGGTAAGCCGGGCCGGGCTGAGGTTGCCGCCCGCGAGGAGTGAAACGGGCCCCGCGGCGGGACCTTCGCTGCCAGAGCCGGTCGGTCTGTCAGGGATGCCCGGTCGGGACGTCGGAGGCCTGGGCAGGGTTCCCGCGTCCGTCCTGATGCTAGAGGAGCCGCATCCCTTTGTCTGTATGTCTGGCCGCTTGCGGGCCTGGTCCTTCCTGCCGTCTCCCGTGCGCTGGGACTGCCGGATGGATTCCGCTGTCTGGGGAGGTGTCCGAGATCTTCGTGTCCGTCTATCTGAGAAGGCTGATGCGATCCCTGTGTCTGTCTGGCAGTGCGAGGCTGACAGGATCCTTTTGTCTGTCTGTCTGATGTCCATGTTTCTCTGTCAGCAAGAGGCTGATGAAATCCGTGTGTTTGTCCCTCTGAGGAGGCTGACGGGATCTCTGTGTCCATGTGTCTTGTGGGAAATGGGTTCAGCTCCTCCTTTTGTCTGTCTGTCTGAGAGGACTGTTGGAAATGCCACCTTCCTCTGTCAGTTCAACGACAAGGATGAATACTTCACTGCAGGAATAGGCAGGAGAGAGAAGGGTGTTTGGACTGCGGTTGCGGTAATTTTTGAAGGGGACGTGCATTTTTTGAGGGCATCAGGATTGCTTAAATCTTTACCTGAGAACTGGGTAGGACTGCCCATGCAGAATGCTTTCTGACATGCTTGTGGATTGTGTTGGATGCTGGCCTGGAATCCAGCTGTGGTGATGCAGAATGAGCCCCATAGGTAGAAGGGTGGGGAATGACTCTGGGACAGGCAGCAGAGCTTGGCCAGGGACTTGGAGGGTTTCAGTGAAGTGTGTGACAGACTCTTCTCTTCTCAGATGAGCCCTCTGCAGAGGGGAGGAACACTCTCTGCCCCCAGGTCAGGGAAACATGTCCCGTCGGAAACAGACCACTCCTAACAAAGTTCACTGTGAGTATGATGTTATGCAGCATTGTGGGACCCTTGCTCTGGCTGGGTTGTGGAGTGAGGTGGGGAGGAGTGGAATGATGGGAGTGATGGGAAGGGACAGCTTGTGGGGAATGGTGGTTACTCATCTTTTATCTTAGGGTGTAAAAGAAGAGAAACTGAGCTCTGTGCATCAGGGAAGCTGGCTGTGTCCTGGCATAGCAGGACAGGGGTAGGCTTGAACAGCTAATGCTGTGAGCATAGGTTTGTATATGCAGGGCCTGTAGCTGGGCTTTGCATTCACACTGTCAAAAGTACAAGTTAGAACACTAGAAAATGTGGCTTGAGGCTCTGGCCTCTTGCTAGCAAAGGAAGTTCTTGGCAAGGTGGTTGGAGCATGCTGGCTAAAAGCCAGCAAGTCCTGGGTTTTGATCTTCATCCTACCACAGACCCAACTGGCTGGCCTTGGGCATGTTACTTAAGCTCACTGTACCTCAGTTTCTACCAGATGATGAAATAAAGCCATTTGCTCTTTCCTGTCAAGGAATGGGTGGTGGCCAAGTAAATTACAGGACAAATAACTGCTGTCTGCCAGATCATTCTTGAGCTGAGGTGGGTAAGATGGATCTCTGTTTCTCCATCATTGCCAAGGCCTAAGCATTTGTTTGACAGTGAAAGGGTTGAAGATGCTGTGCATCAGCACTTCTCATGGTCAGGCTACAGCCAGGCACCAGTGGAGCTGGGAGGCAGAGATGAAGGTTTGGCTGCAGAGGGGAAACTGCACATGTACAGCTTTTGTTTGGCAGCAGAGGGAATTTGAGGGGCCTGAAATTATGCCCTTGTTCATACTCAGGTTTGTGGCTGGGAACATGCTTGGAATTTGGGCTGGAATTAGGAAAACAAGTTTCAATTTCTGTAGATCTGTGAGAGCAAGGCTGCTGAGAGGGCCCTGTGTGGTTTTGGCTGCAGTAGCTGTCAGGAGTGCGAGACAGAGCTGAGTGCTGCAGCCCTAACACTGCCTCATTGCTGGTGCTGCTGGCTTGCATGTCTGTGTGTATGTGTGCTGCCTCTGTGCACAGGTACGCAACAGGCATCTGTGCATGCTGCTCTCAGTGCAAAGGGAAACTCTGGGCTGGAGCTGACACCTTGCACACTCCGTGAGTGCACTGGGAAGGGCTGTCTCTGCCTGGGACTTGCAGCCCCACTGGCTGGGCAGCTTGGCAGAGCCAGCCGAGCTGTCCTTGCTGGCCAGAGTGAGGTTCTCAAGGAGTGTGGCTTGTGGCACCTGCATTGCCTTGTGCTCTCTGATTCCTGCTTCTGGTTGTTGGGTTCCGCTGTGGGCAGAGTATAGATTTAATTTGTCTGATAGTACATTAATGACTTTGGAGTTGTTGTTCTTAGAAAAATTTGATATGTCTGGTATTTTATCCTGTGATGCCAATAACATGCCTTGTGTCCACACACTTCTGCTTCTTAGAGTGCCCAGGTATTACTGCTGTTATTGAGCTCAGGTTTATGTCATATATGCAATTAAGCTATCTTCCTTGGTCCGGAGTTGGGATTTCTTGAGTATGGAAACCAAGCGCTACAGTAGCTCTAATTGTGCAGATAGAGTTTCCATGGTGTTTAGCTGGGTACTTGTCTGCACTTCACTGCATAAGGGCTGTGTTCTTCAGAAGCTTGTACTATCATATACAAAACTCTACGTATCACAAAATTCAGTGGTGCACTGTTTTCACAGTGAACAATGCTTTTTTATCTGCAATACAAATGATTGTATCTCCAGTCCTGGTTTTGGAGGAAGCTGTCTGACAAACACACTGCCAGGGGGCAGGAGGTTATAGCATCAGGTATGCCACGGAGTGGAGTTCTGGGACCTGTTCATCTCCTTTACATGCAGTACGTTGCTACAGAGCAACTGTTCAGCAGGAGCCATCGAGAGCAGCAAGTAGGACCACAAGAAAATAAGGGGACCGAGAGATACCAGAAACTTGTCAATGGTGATGTCTTCACCTTGGGATGGAAAATCTTGTCTGTCTTATGATGAACACCACGAAATCGTTGGGACTTCTCTGTCTACCTAGCCTGCTGTGTGTCTGGAGGGCCCAGAAATGCCGTGCAGTGCCCTGACGAGGATAATCGGAGAAAACACCGGCTCCAAGAACGGGGTGAGCCAGCAGAATGAGGAGTCAGGCTGAGACATAGCAGACACGTTACTGGGACTTCTTCACAGGGACTGCAGTGGTTGGGAGGAGAGGAATGAAAGGGACAGCAGGTATGCAGCTTTTTATGCAGTTGCCTGCAGCTGGGGTCTGATTTGGCAGGCTATGGGGCTGGGGGACTGCCTTTTGGATTTGCATAAATACGACTGTGCATATATGACTGGACAAATTTGATGGGAGGATGGTGCCTACTTCTTCCTTGCATGGCCACTTCCATCTTCTCTTCCTTCTTGGACTGACTAGGGCGAGTAACAGCTGCTGATTTCCTCTAGTTGGCTTGCTTGGTGTCTCCTCTTTCCAGGATTACTTTGCAGGCTTGGCATGGCCCTCATTTCACCTTGCTCTCACAACACCATGGTTTTCTGTCCTCACTTAGGACAGAATCACTTTGCTTGGCAAGCAGAGCAAACCAGCTAGGAGATTGTATGGTTACAAATCAAAACAGTTTTCAATAGAAGTTGATATGTAAGGAAAGTCAAAATAATACTGAAACAATGATAAAAATTATGGTAAAATTTATCACAAAAGTCTTTCTGTGCATGATGGCCAGTCCCACAATTTTAATTTAGTCATTGCCCCTGCAGCACATAAATGGCTCTTAAGAATATAATTTTATTTTGCCATGTGGTGCATGAAAAACATACCTTACAAAGTGCTAACAAACTGAGCAGTAATAGTGGAATATGCTTGTTGAAAAATAAAATGCAGTTAGATTGCTTGTGGGGAGATACCTTAATTTGGTCATTTGGTTCAATTTCGTCTTTATTTTCTCCCAGAGTATGCAGTATAAAAGTATAAAAACTCTAAGCAATTAATCTGTTCTTGCATTCATCTGTACTGTGCTGTCACCCCACCAGTCATGGACTACTTGCTGTCTTCGTGCTTGCCAAAATTTGTTGCAGGTATTAGCATGCACTTCTCCCTCCTTGCTGTCCACAAGCTGCTTTGCTTTCTATTGCCTGTGTCCTCTGCAGCTGATGCTTAGATGATTTTAGAACTCTGGATAAGAGCTTTTGTTAGTCAGATTAATTCCTGCTTCTGAGCTCTATTTATCATGGCTCCAATATCCCATTAATCCTCCATTTCCTTCCCTCTCTCTCTAACACACACATGTTCTGTGCTCTTTGGTGTTCCTTGGATTCTCCTGTCTATAATAGTCCCATTTTGAAGGGAAGGTACCTTGCAAGAAATAGAACCCAGCATTCACAACTGAGCAGAAATGTTACGTGCATCAAATCCCTTGGTTCTGAAGGGCTCCGTGGACTGCCATTGTTAACCGTTTCAATTGTGTTGTTTTTCATTTCAGTAACCACTACAGCAGTGTGGACAACCCAGAATAGCCATGGGGCAGGTGGAATAGATCCACAGTGGTGGAAAGACTTGCAAATTTCAGGTCCAGGAACACAGAGAAGACCTACATGAACAGGGACTTTAAATTTATGTACAAGGAGGGAATAAACTGACTCATCTGTGAGAGACCGTTCTGTTTAGGAAGGAAGGCAGGAGAATGATGTAGTCCCTTTGCGTTTTGTTTTGTGGATTTTGGGGTGGGAGTTGTTTGTTTACGTGTTTATTTTCCAGAACACCTGAGAGTTATCCTGCATTTATACAGTTCAAGAAGGGAAGGGCTCAGGGCTGGTACCCTAGCAGTCATGCCTGCCCATGTTACACAGTACCACAGGGCTGTCCCCTATTTCCACCACTGCTGACTTGGCATCCCTCTCATTCCCAGCAGTATGGAGAGGAGAATGGAATACAAAGCAGAGGCATTTGTATCATCTCTCTTGTCTTACATCTCTAGCTGCTTGTAAACAACTACAGTGACTTGTTTTGGTGTTGTGGTCAGCCTGCAGGCCTGTTTGTATTTAATAAAGAAACTTCTGGAGAAGAGTCTGTGAATTCACTGTTGAGCATAACATCCTTTACTTACGGCAGTGATCCTAAAGCTGTTGCCTGTCCAACTCCTCTTCCAAGTGAATGGAAGCATACCCAAAGTGGGGTGGAGGTGGGGGTGTGTCTGTTTATGAGCATGTGTGTGCAGAAACATCAAAAGTATAACCCTGGACCTATCCAACATTAAAGTTGTAAAGTTTTATCAAAGGAGGACTTTGTCAGTAGATGAACAGGACACTCTTTCCTAAGTTCTTTTGTACGCTATTACTATAATACATTAGAAATTTTGTACAAGGGGAAGACAGTATTTTTCCATGTTTGCCTTTCCCAGTCCCGTGATGTTTTTAGATAGAGGCTGGGGAGGATGCACAGGACGTGGCCTGCTAACAGCACGGGTTTGGTTAACAGCTTGCATTGCTGGCTGTAAGCTGGTTGTTCTCTGCACTGTGCCGAGTCAATACTCACTGGGCTCTAGGGGTGTTGCACAGAGGCTGGAGGCACACACAATTGCTCAGTAACTGTGACTGATACCAGTGTTCCTTATGTGAGAAGTTCCGTCTTCTGTCACCTCAGATAAAGATCCCAGCTCTTAAATCCTGCAAACTGTCTGCGTGGTTTGTATAGCTGAGCAGGAACCTGCCCTGCCTTACGACTCCAGGCTGCTGCTCAGTGGGAGTGTAATCTGTCTGAAAGGGAATAGGGGGAAGAAATCAAACAAGTAATTGCTTCCACGAGCAGCCTGTGGCATTTGGGAATTCTGTTTTGGAACTCTGTCAAAGGCAGCAGCACGTCTCCCATCGTAGTTTTATATCTGTCCTGTGTTCTGCAGGTTTCCTCATTTCATCAAGCTTTCTCTTTCACTTGCAATGCTTTTTTGGTCTATGGACTTTTATCCTGGTGGTTTGTGGGTTTCTGCTTCTTGGAGGGGCACTGGATTTCTGTGGTGTTGGCTGCTTGTACAGTCTGTATCTCAGTCCCACCAATGTGAGGCTGTGGTCCCGATATAAAAACAGCACTCCAGGTCATGAAAACCATTCAGTGCTAGAATGGCTTCTGAAGGGGTGTCACAGCAGTCATGATGGTCCCTGCTGCTTTCAATGACAAATAGACTTGGCCCTCCTCAGCACCTCTCCTCAGGCACATGGATTGTGCTCTCAAATCTTCTCTACAGCACTCTTTCTCACATTTCTGAAAGAGAATGATAAAAGCCTTCAAATGCTTTCGGAAACCTACATGGGGACATGGGGAACTAAAATTCTTCTCCCACAGTCTCAGTAAAACTTCTGAAGGTGTTTGAAATCTTCCATAAATCACAGCTTTTTAAAGCCCTGCCAAAATTGCAAGGTGAGCCCCAAGGAAGGCATTGTGAGTGGAAACATGGAGCAGCACTGGCTGGAACAGTTCAGCACATGGGAATGTACCTGTCCTTGTAACAGGACTGGTGCTCTCTCTCAGGAGTTCAATTTCCTGGTTATAGTGGTGCCAGCTGTGGCCCTGTACTAAAAGGTAACTTTGTCTTCTGAAAGCTATGTTTTGATTTTATGTCAAAAATGCACTGCGTTTTCCTTGGCATTTTCACATTTGTGCTTTGAATGGTTCTTGAGCACTTTCAAATCAGTTGATAAATGCAACCCAAAAGCCGGCCTGCTGGGAACTTCAGCACCTTTCCCAAGCCTCCCAGCTCATCCACTGGAAAAGGTAAATCACGACTACACCTGGAACAATGTAATTTGTTTGCTTTAATATGAAAATTAACGGTTGCCTTTTACTATTATTCTCTGGAACCAAAACTTCTTTGAGCAGGGATTGCTGTAAGAACTTTTCATTCAGAGTACAAATAAATACTTTATTTCAAGGTGTTTGCCACGTCCTATTGAGCTGAGGTACTAGTGGTCACTGTTTTCAACTAAAATTGTTTTGTCCTAAGCATGCATCTCAGCCCTCTGGGGTCATTCCCTTAGGTTTCTGTTTTGAGCACATGAAGTGCCAATGAGATTTATTTTAGCGAGAGCCATTCCTGGGCAAAGCAGGGTAGTTTTCTATTCATCATATACACAGGAGAACACCAGTTTCAAGCATAGACACCTTCTGTAAAGGCAGCTTGTCCTCATCCCTCCTGGGACAGAAGAAAGTGACACTGTGGAGGGCAGGTGAGGTACCAGCACTTAGGGAGGTGCTATTTTTGTGCAAAATGCCAGCTATAGCCAGGAATAAGAGTTAATAATTTATAAGAGCTGTACAGTACTATCCCTGATCTGGGATACTGTCACAGTCCCCAGGTGCTTCCCCCCATCCTGAGCTGTGCTGTAGGATATTGGTGGATAGCTTGGCAGCAGTAAGAGCCACTTGGCTATTTATGGCAGATATATGGGGTCACAGGCATTTTGTGGCTGGAGTGGCATACACATAGTATGCAGAGGGCAGCCCAGTGCTGCACATTGCCACTAGTGAGACTCTTCTACATCCAGGCACTGGACTCACATCAGCAGGTGCCAGAGGCTGGTGTGGCAGGGTAGGCAAGCAGAGAAGTTACCTAAGTGCTTTCCAAGAGGTGACTCCAGAGGTTCTGCACAGTGCAGGTGAGCAACCCCATGCCTGTTGTATTTTTGGCAAGCCTTGGTGGTGGGAAGCAGTGGAACAGCACCAGTCTGACTCTTTGTCTTTGTGGCTGCTAGGGGAGCAAGTCTTTGCAGGGCTGGAGGAGCAAGCCCGCCAAGCCATGATGAAAAATAACTTTCGTGGAACTCTTGGGGACCAAAGGCCAACAATTCGTCCACTCCAAGACCCTGACTCCAGCAGCAGTGAGTTCTTCCCCTTCCAGTAGCACTAAGGTTGTAGACTGGGAAGACTGGAAAGGGGTGAGGCTGAGGGCTGCACAGTGTGTCCGAGTCCTCTGAGGGCCATCTTACCCAGATCCTCCTCTGGGTTAGCCCTTTGCTCCAGTGCAGGACTTTGTCCTAAGGACCAGACCAGCACAGCACAGACCGGGCAATGCCATGGGACCCAGTGCCATTTCACCAGAGCAGGGTGGGGACAGCAGCAGCTCTGCCTGAAGATCTGGAAGTCATTGAGCAAGGCAGTGTAAAATGCCATGCCCAGGACTCAAGTGCCCTAGACTGAGTTTAAATGGAAGCCGTATTTGGAGGGAGTGGGCAGAGGCCCCTTGTAATGCTGGTCAGGACAGTTAAAGCCTGTGAGTGCCATCGGTGTCCTGACACGTGGTAAAACTGTTCTGCACATTTCAGGTGGCAGCGATGATGAGGAAACCACTCAGGATGAAGTTTCTTCCCATACGTCTGAGGAAGATGGCTCAGTGGTGAAAGTGAAGAAGGAATTAGAAAATGCAGAACGACCTGTGGCTGGAACCCCATTGATAAGAGAAAATGAGGCAAGTGTGTACTGACTCTGCACTCACTATAGCCTCCAGGGAGAGAGAAGGGTACTGGGTACTATCTGAACATTTCCTCTCCCCATCATGTTTCTTTATCTTTCTCTCCCTCCCACCTCCTCCAAACAATGTCTCCTGGCAGGAGGAAAGGGTATGAAGAGCCTTTTGGCTGCCTGGAACAGGAGACAGCAGGCACAAACTGGCCAAGATGTTTGCAGAGTGCAAACCCTTCCCTTGGTTCCAGTACCATTTTCTGATTGGCTTCCCCTTGCCACAGAAAAGGCCCTGCCTTTTAGAGTCACTGTGCTAGCAAGAACCTGGGTGCAAGTAAGGCTATGAGGCCTCTGCCCCCTCTCCGTGAGATGCAGGGGTTTTGCTCAGAGGCTACATGAAGGAGGCTTTTTTCAGATGTCAAGCGCCCAAGGCAGGCCTGGCAGGACTGGGAGGAGCCGAGGAAGGGCGGGGTGCCTGCGCGGGTCGGTGTGCCTTACAGCCAATGGCTGTTCCTGCCCGTAGGTGCCTGAGAGTGGGAACGCTGAGCCCGTACTGGGACTGTCACAATGCCCCCTCTGCCAGCTCGAGTGTGGAAGCAGAGATCAACTTATTGCACACGTCTACCAGGTATGGATAGTTCCAACTGTGGAGTGTCTCTGGCCTGAAGCCTCAAATCCAGAAACAACTCAAAGCACAGGGTAACTTTGTTCTGGTCTTTGCAACCACAGAACTGAGTTTCTAGCTAGGATGTGACTGAAGTTTACAGCTGTAAACTGTGTCCAGAGAGTGTCTTGGGGAAAGAATTAGCAAGGCCCTGGTCTACAGATCTGGAAAACATAACTCTATGCCGATAACTCTATAACATATATATATATATATATATAAAACATAACTCTATATAACATATAACATAACTCTACACTTGCAGTCTCTGCAAGTATTTCAGGCTAAAACCAAGCAGTTCCTTCAAACTAAACATGGAAGCAATTTTTATATCATTCAATGAGATAAAAAACCTTCCTCCTGATCATTTATGTTATACTTCATTACAGTTCCTCTAATTATCCATGACAGTAGCTGTACTTCCTGAAAATTATTCCAGTTTTGCAAGAAATCTGCGGTGAAATCTTAGGTTTTGTTGTCAGTGCTTTCTTCATAGCACATCAAAGTCTGTAGCAGAAGGAATGAAACAGAACTTACCCGTGCCAGTTGTCTCCCTGTAAGTGCTTCTTTACCAGCATCCAGCCTTGCTTTTATTGAGTCATGCTTTGTCCTGCACCAGCAGTTCCTCAAATGCATTCCTGAAAACAAGGGTCAGGTCTTACAGTCCAAGTGGTTTGGTCTTAATTTTTTCTCCTGCACTGGAGTTGAGCTATAAAGGGCTTTTCTTCTTGTTTAACCTGTGACACAATGAATTACTTGTCTTGAGCTTGGTCTAAAAGCTGGCAGACAGAGGTTTAGTGGTAAAGGGTTCCCATTCCAAGAGGCTGAACAGAATGGTTTGAGCATGCCTTGGACTGGGCAAGGAGCTGGGAAATATGTAACTACCACCTGAGTGGTTGTTTTGCAGCACACTGGAGCGGTGGTGAGTGCCAAGAGCTACCTGTGTCCTGTGTGTGGCAGAGCCCTCAGCTCCCCAGGATCCCTTGGGAGACATCTCCTGATCCACTCAGAGGACCAGCTGTCCAACTGTGCAGTTTGTGGAGCACGCTTCACCAGCCACGCCACCTTCAACAGGTCAGGGTCACCCTGGCCAATGAGTGGGCTAGGTAGCACATTAAAGATTAGGTGGGTTGCCTTGAATGACTCAGAAGTTGTGGCTCTGGACCCACTGAGGCTGTAGGACAGTGCTAAACACCCCCAGTGAGTGAGATTCTCTTGATCCCTTCCTGTCTGCAGCTCTGCATCCCCTGCCAAGAGGTCTGCAGGCTGTGCTGGTAAAAGGGTCTTTCTTAGCGCTGTGCAGAGCTAGAGAAAGCGCTGTGGGCTCCAGTCACTGGAGAACAATCCACCCCTTCCCTTGCCCAGCACTCCATTGGAGCAAGGCTGCACTATCCAGATGGGTTCATCATGACCAGAGGAGGACTACAGGCAGAGACCAAAATGTTCTTTCTTTGTGTCCTGCCTAGTGGGAGATTATCCACTGACCAGTGGAGTGGGGCTAAAAAGAAATTCAGAGATGATGGGGAGGAGCAGCTTGCTGATTTATTCCCACTCTTGCACTCTTCCAACCCAGATACTGCTCTGGGCTAATCCACTTCCTTGCCCTGGACAGGACCGTGCTTTATTTTAGATACTCAGACATATCTGTGGGCAAATGATTTAGCAGAGGGCTCTGCCATGGGCTGTAGTGGGAGCAGTGTTCACGGCAGCTCACGGGGACTCTGCCCACAGCACCAAGCCTCTGACTCCGTTCCTCCGGCTTTGCAGTGAGAAGCTGCCAGAGGTGCTCAGTGCGAATCGGCTGCCGGCACCACAGAGCCAGGGCCCCTCCAGCGCCGAGGGTAAGGATGTTGCCTTCTGCACCCCCGTGTATCCCGCGGGCATCCTGCTGGTGTGCAACAACTGCGCCGCGTACCGCAAGCTGCTCGAGGCACAGAGCCCCGGTGTGCGCAAGTGGGCCCTGCGGCGCCAGAACGAGCCCCTGGAGGTGCGGCTGCAGCGCCTGGAGCGGGAGCGCACAGCCAAGAAGAGCCGGCGGGACAATGAGACGCCCGAGGAGCGCGAGGTGAGGCGCATGCGGGACCGGGAGGCCAAGCGGCTGCAGCGCATGCAGGAGACGGACGAGCAGCGGGCGCGGCGGCTGCAGAGGGACCGGGAGGCCATGCGGCTGAAACGCGCCAACGAGACCCCCGAGAAGCGACAGGCCCGGCTCATCCGCGAGCGCGAAGCCAAGAGGCTCAAGCGGCGCCTGGAGAAAATGGATATGATGCTCCGGGCACAGTTCGGCCAGGACCCCTCTGCCATGGCTGCTTTGGCAGCTGAGATGAACTTCTTTCAGCTGCCAGTGAGCAATGTGGAGCTGGAGAGCCAGCTGCTGGGCAAAATGACCTTTGAGGAGCAGAGCAACAGTGCGTTGCACTAAACCACAGCCAAGAACTGTGCTGCCTTTGCTGCACCTGCCACATGTGCACTAGCAGGCTTCTGCGCCCAGGAGGCTGCTGTGGGTCCCTGCCTGACCCTCCCTGACAGGTGGTTCTGGTTTTCCTCTGAACCCAGGAGGAGAACAGAGCTGAGAGATGCCTGCCAAAGCAGCTCTGGTGGGAGCAGATTCTGAGGATACAGTCTGCTCTGGGGGCCAAGTCACAGCCTGTGACAGAACAAAAATAAATTAATGTATTAATTAACATTAATTAATGTTCACATGTATTAGTCCCCTTCTTTACCCTTTGTGCTTTGTCATGGTTTTGGGCCCTTGCCCCAGTAATGGGTCTAGGCTACTGCAATTCTGCAGTATTCCACCTCAATAAAAAAGGGTCTTGTTTACTGCAGCATGAATTACAGAGCTGAAGACAGATAGTCCATAAACTCCTCCAGGAGTAGATCCTTTGCAATTTGTGCCCGTAAGAAGGAAAGAAAGGAGGATGTCCTTCTGGAAATGCCTGTGCACACCCTTTTTTAAAACATCGTTATTACATATTTACGTATTTTGCAGTGTCATCCATGGAAAAGAACCTGAGGTCTTGTTTTAAGATAAAAACAATGAACGAAAGTTTTCACTCGTAAAAACAGTGAAAGAAAGGCTGGCCAAGGTAAACAAATAGCAAGCAAGTTTGCTGCTTTACTCACAAGTTATTTTCACTTAAACAGCATTTCAGGCTTGCAAGTGAAAGAGTTGATTGAATGGTAAATAATAGTGTAGGTCAGTTTCTAGGACTTTAGGGGTGTGCTTTTCCCTTTATTCAGCACTGGTGAGGCCACATCTGGAGACCTGTGTCCAGTGCTGGAGTCCCCAGTGCAAGAGCAACACAGACATACTAGAGGCAAAATGTCATCGTAGCCTGTGCCTACAGGAAAAGGTTCCTGCTACTAATAGAAATCACTATCAAAACTATGCAACTATGGAAATGATATCTAGGCATCTTTAAATTGCAAAAGGCAAAGCAGTGGCACAGAAGGACTCACGGCAGAGCAAAGTGGTACACTCTCCATTATTTGGCTTCTTTAAGAATGAGCACCTGAAAATGCATGGTGTTAGCTTTGTGGTTTTGAGACATCAGCCCACCAAAAGCCAGTGTGCCACACTTCTGTTTGTAGCCTGAAAAGCCCTATTACCTCCATAGCATTTCCAGTTAAGGTCTAGAGTCATACAGTGGATCAAACGCCTTGGGAAGTACTGTCTTCTCTCTGGTGGCTGTTTCTCTTTAAGTCAGAAATGGTGACCACAAGACTGCTACTTGAGATCAGAAGAGTAAAGTTAAAACAAGAAGCAAAATCTTTTTATCAGACTACTTGAAACCCTCATTTCCTCCTCATTTTTCAGTTTGAAAACCATTTGATTGCAGTCCCTTAAAGCCCTAGTTAAAATAGTTACCTTCAAAATGCATAATGTTGCATTTTTCTGGCAATAATGAACCACTCTCACAGTCAGCCCTGGGGATGCTGCTAGGAAACAGCATTGAACCTTTTCAGTGCAAGTTTTCTCCTCCTGCCACTGCAACATCTAGTTTCCTCCCTGTACAGAAGCTGTTTTAACATGATGTTCATTAATCATGTAGAACTGACACCCAGGAGCCATCCCTGCTTCTCTCTCTTTGGGAAAAGGCACTGTAAAGGAGCTGTTGAGTTCCATGTTCCTTTGTTCATATCCTCCTTTGTTCTGTGATCTCTCACTTTTATCCTTACTTGTGTTCATTTTCACACTCAAACCCCGAGTTTGCTTCTGGCAGTATCTGCTTTTGCTCTGCCTCATGTTTTACTTGCCCAGCAGAGATGTACCTCTACTCTGCAACCTGCAGTTGGAACTTTCCCTGTAGCGTCACTGACACCTTATCTTTATTCCAGGGGGTTCAGGAGAGACCACATAACGCTGAAGTATCTGAAGACCCAGATTTATGACTTATAATCCATGTGTCACCCTGTATCTTGCCCTTGACACGAGTCTCCAGATCACTGTGTAAATCCAGAGAAGCCACATGCTAATGACCACTGATACTGTAGACAAGCAAAAAGTCTCAAACACCAAAGGAAAAGCTATTGGTTTATATATAGATATATATATGTATATAGATATATACTGTGTTTACAGAGTCAACAAGTTAAATGCAATATTCATAAAAGCATTAACAATAAAAATACAATCTGTTTGTAGGCAAGTACAGACTTAAAATGGTAAAACAGGAAAAAGGATCTCACCAAAGTACAAATATACAGTACAAATTGATTTATTTAAAACAGTTACAAAAAAAGCACAACAAAATAGAGATTATCCTTAGAATTATTAATGCTTTGTTAAAGATCAGGTAGGAGGGAAGGGGCAGGGACAAAGTTGGAGGGGAGCACCTGACTAGTTCTAAGGCTTTAGATACACTGCATCGGTTACATGTTAATACAGCCATATACTGGGGGTTATAGTGAGGGGTCAGCACTTATCTACAAACATCTCTCTGCCTCAGGGCAGCCCAGCCAGCTCCCCCACGTCTCTCTCTCTCTCTCTCTCTCTCTGAGCACACCCTCCCCGGCGCTAAGGTGCCATGAAAGCCGAAAACAACTCGAGTGTGCCAGGGGCGTGTTGGCAGGGTGGGCGGCAGCAGCCCAGACCTACAGGGCAATTCTGTCCTTGACAGACAGTGTGAAGGCCGTGGAAGGGCCTGGACCATCAGCATTTTAAACTATATGCGGAACACCCTGGGCCAAACTGTACAGAATGTGTATTTGTAGCCATCTTAGCAGCTTCTGACAAGTGTCAGGCTCTACCACAGCTTGAAAGACAGGGAGCAGTTGTGAGTGACGCTGGGGAAGGCACGCGTGCTGCTGCGGGCAGGAACTAGCATTTGGGCTACTCCAGCTGCTGTAGTTTCTTTTACAATATTTTCTGAGTAACAAGGATTGTTAGTTCTCTATGGGACAAAGTGACTTGAAGTGTGGGGTGGGGACAGGGACACAATGTGAAAAGTGCAATATAAAAAGCTGCTCAGCAGCTGGAAGGGGAAGGCAGAGGGCCCTCTGCAGCTTCCTTCCCTTCCAGACAGAGCTTCCTCTGCATAGTCTGGTAGTGATGAGCTCTCATTGCTGTGAATGCACAGCCCAGAGATAGGCTTGGCTCTGCGTGCAGCTAACCCAAGGCATGTTCCATGGGATGGGACAGATGGCTACAGACACCCATTATTGCATCCCACGGACTCCTGCTACAGAGTGTGAGCTGGATAAGATTAGGGCCTCCTCCAGGCAGGACAGACCACGGCTCCCCTACCCTAGACAATAGCAGCAGGAACATGGTATATTTCTCTGAGAAGTCTGTCACATCTCTGCCAGCAGAAAAGCCCAGGTAACCAGCCCACTCTGCAATGTCTTCCTGGCTTTATCTCCTCCTTTCCCTGTAAACCCGAGAAATAAAAGCCTCCTCCATGGGCTCATTCACAGCCTTTCTCACTGCAGCAGAGCCTGTCTCACACACTCCCTGTCCCACACACTCCCTGTCCCAGGAGAGCCTCAGTGCTCAGCACAACCACCACTGTGGTACTAAGCCATACAGCCCTGTCCAGTAAGGACAGGTTCCTGTGATACCAGTACTGCTGAGCTGGGCTGAAGAGTTGCCAGTGGCCCCCTCCTGCCCACCCTTTGGAGCAAACAGCCAGATACATGAATTCTTCATCTCAGTCCCCCGTCATGAGCTGTGCTTCAAACCACTGCTTCCAGGGAAGAGCTGGCAGGTGAAGCACACAACAGCGGGACTGACAGAGTCTGGATAACAGCACCGAGGTCCAGTTCAGCACGGCCTGTCCCACAGAGCTCAGGACCACACCCAACAGAGGTGCAGCAAGCCAAAGTCCAGGTCAGCAGCCAGGTAAACAACAGGGCAAGCACCTTCACAGCCCTTCACCTGCCTACAGTACAAAGCTATTTAAGTCACAGCATCTTGCCTCATTTGTCAGTGCTGCCCATTCAGATCACTGCAGTGTGGCTGAGATCAAGGAGTTAGAGTAACACACATGGTGTTAAGGCAAGCTCTCCAAACCCTCACTCTAAGACAGACTTCGGGGTTCAGAGACACTCAAGGGGCTCTGCAGCATCAGTTGCTGAGACATTGCCCCTGTGGTGTAACCAGCCCTTCTACATTCACATGCCATACGAGATCCCTTCCTCAAGTGCCTGTCGCAGCCCAGAACTCCTCTGCGTGCACCATGCATAGAATAGGCATGAGAACCCAGGCTCCTCTGCCTCCTGCCTTTGGCCACAGACACCTCAGATATCCTGAGCATTAAGTACTAATTACCAACACTAACAGAGAGTTTTATGTAGGAGAGTCCAGTCAGCAGGAGCTGTGACACCTCCGGGTGACAAAGGGGCCCAGGTGGACACTCACTGACAAAGGGATTGTGAAAACAGCATCTGTTCCCACAGCTGCTGCACCTGAGAAGGCAGAATCTTCACACAACAGCATCACTGCAACTTCACACATCCCAAATGCAGCTGATGAAATCAAAAGTAGTGTGTCATTTGGGAGCAGCTACACATGGTACAGGCAGCATCCTCATTCTGAGAACCCTGTGAGGCACAAACACTGAGGGCATGTTTAGCACACATCTCACCTAAGGCCTGTCCTGGTGCAGGCATTTTAAAGGCAACAGAAATGGCTAGCAATGCGCTAGGAAAACAGGACTGAGGCCGGGATGGAAGGGACATTCTGGAGACTAACTTGCCTAATACACAGGCAGAGCATGCATCCATTGCAGTCAGCAGAAGCCAACCAGTTACAGGACACACTCCTGGGGAGTGCAGAACAGCCCTGAGACAGCACCACTGCAAGGAGAGGTGCTGACACACACCATTCTGTGACAGAGAGGAGTGGCACCCCAGGAGTCAGGCACACTTGACAAATTTCAGGCAGGGAGACAGAAACAGCATGCTGAACATCAGGACTCTGCACACTAAGAAAGGCCCCCTCCAAAGCCTGGTCCTAGCACAGAGATGGGCACCTGAACACAAGGAATACCCAATCCAGGTTAAGTCAGTGAAAACCGTTTTGTCACCAGAACAGTGATGTTCTGTGATGAACAGTGATGTATATTTTTTGTCCTAGCTGAGCAGTGGTGTCATAGCACACCATCAGAGAGGGAAGATTAGTGTAACTACAGGAGACTTCACTCAATAGTGTTACCACCACAATCAGCTGTTCATACACAATTGTATT